CAGCATCCGCCTACTCCCAGCATCCGCCTTCTCCCAGCATCCGCCTTCTCCCCGCACCCTCATTCAAGGATAATACCATCAGAGCGTGGACCCATGATAACCATACTCTGCCCTAGGGCAGTACCTATGTTTCCCTCAACAGGGGTCTAGCTGGGGAAAAACTCCGAGCTGGTGTGCCACCAAACCCTGCGCTTTTTTTCCACCACCCCCAGAGACACCAGGGAACGGCCGCCGGGAACTTCGACCACCACTGCATCGGCGGCATCTCGCCATACACCAAGACTTCCCACCACTGCCACAGATGACACCCAGGCCGCAAAGTGTGTAATCAGAGCCACATGAGAGGCTGCCCAAACAACACCCTTATCCAAACACGTCGAGATAGCCTATACAAATGCTGCCCACATAACTGGGGGTTGGGTCCGATGGTTTTTTTAACTCCGTCCGTAGGTGCATGCAACGGCAATCCCCACAACCTAGAGCTGGGTGGTGGAGCGCAGACAGCTGGGCAAAGGGCGAAGGATTTGACACTCGCCAAAGATAAGTGTCGGATACCCCTCCCACGTCAGCCAAACTAGGGTTTGCCTGGACCATGACCACTGCTGATGTTGCCACATGGTCAGCATCCTAAACTTCTTCTGCATACCTCCCTCAACAATGTGGAGCCACAGGTGTGATGATAACGCAAAGGACCAGGCTGCGGCTAGGAAGGCTAAACTCGAAGCAACACTCATTGCATTGCGCAAACTCCACAGCAAACCAGGGCACCACACATACATAGAGATATGCGGGCTCCCGTGACCTTCTTGCTTGCCGGCCTATCATCCCTCGCGGGCGGCGTGGGAGTCGCATCCATCTCGGACCTGCTGTATTTCTACATAAAGGCGCACGGATCACTGACACGCAGGCTTATGCGGGCCGCCCGCAAAGCAGGTGAGAGCAAGTTGGCATGGGGGGATGTGACCCCCATCCAGCGCAGTGTTTACTCTTAATTTTCACACATCGCAGAACAGTAACACTAACATGTGTGATGGCCTTTACGACGCAGGGTCAGGAGCGGAGAAGGCAGAGGCTGGTGTCAACCAGCACCTGAAAGCACACGGAAAAGGTCTTCTCGGTCGGGTTGGAGGTGCGCCAGACTCACTGTTGGATCTGATCAATACGCCAACAGACCAGACCTTTGCTGGCCTGCATTACCGGTTCCCTCCATACAAGGCTAGCAGGAATGGCAGGATAACAAGAGCGCGTGGGGTGGGATGGGGAGGAGAAACGGCGGGGCAAGGCCTTCAAGAAATTGATCGAAGAAGGTAAGAGGAAACAGGTGCCGGCATACGTCTAGCTAGGCACAAGCCGACAGTCGTCCAAACACTGGATTGATGTCATCTCGCAGTGTTTCAAGATCCCAAACCACCATCTTCTGCAAAAGCTGCCCAAAATCCTTGAATGATCTGCCTCGGTTAGCTACTTTGTCTTGTGCAAAGACGCCGATGCAGGGGCAGAGGACCAAACTGCTGCAGATCCAACGTCAACCAGATCCGGGACGGAGGAGGAAGAGGTGGTGACATGTTCAGCGAGGGGGCATGCTGTACAGGCAGAGGGATGTGGAGCAGCTGAGGAGCCCGGAGAAGGCGACGCGCTACCAGAGGATCCAGTTGGCAGCTGCGAGGAACCTCTGCCAACTACGGCAACATGGACCCTTCGTGTTCCCATGGCAAGTGTGCATGACTCACTAGTAACACCATCCACGTATGCCATAAGGACTTCGGGCATAGGTTGCGTCCGATCATTTCCTTGCTTCTTCCAGGTACATGCGACAATTCAGAGACTCCCCTCATCCCGGGTACACGGAGCCACGACTGGCATGACTAGAACATTGACCACTGGGGCATGCCTGCTTGTCATGCCCCCGTTTCTGCCATCCATGCAAGCACCCATATCCCCATGCAAGCCCCATCCTCTCCCCGTGCCTTTGGCTTTCCAGACCAGGCATCTGGCAGGGCTAGCAGGCCTAGGTGCAGCAGGGGCCGCATCTGGCATCGGCCTCTCTCGGGCCTCGATTCCAACAGCCATCCACCTTGGAGGTGTGGTTGCACCAGGAGCTCCAGCAACAGCACCAACCACATCCCCTGAAGGTTCAGTAGCTGCAGCAACTGCAACAGCAGGGGCAACATTCGCGGTACCAGCACCAGCTTCAACTGCAACCCTAGCCCCGACAGGGTCAACCTCTGCAGAACTGGCACCAGCTTCAGCAGCCTTACCATTAGGCACAACAGCCGCAATACCCGCAGCAGAGAAGGCGGCCTCACCAATTGCAGCAACCACCACAGCTGCAGCGGCAGCACATACCACCGCGAGGGCTGATTCCCGAGGCGTAGCAGGTGTTGCATCAGCTGCCATCAGAGCATCCGCAACACCTGCGGTAGCAGGCACACAGGGGGGAGGAGCTGCAACACCTCGAAATGTGGAGCCCGCTATCATGCAGTCGCCGTGTGGGCGGCTGGCCGACATGGCCCAGGCGGGCAAACAAAGGCGAGAGAGGTGCGTGGCTTGTTTTGCAAGATTGGCTTGCCACTTTGCATATGGGATGCATCCACTGCTACCGGGAGGCATGGAGACTGCTAGTTTGCAAGGGTACCCGCCACCCCATTTTATGTTGGCCCACGTTTGCAACCAACACATGCCCTAATACCACCGCGTGCCAATTTCCCCACAACCGTGGTGCAGCAGGCCAGCAAGCCACAAACCGGCAGGGGCTACCGGCCACCGAACCCTACCTCGCGGATGGCAACCCCGCCCTGCTGCTTTGACCGAGCCATCTGACACTGAGGTGTGCTTGCTCGATGTCCCGCATACGATCCGTTTTTTCTCAGACCGCGCTCTAGCATGTGAGAAAGGGTCCAGTTGCCAGGGCCGTATGCGATTGATGTCTTCAAAAGAAGAGTCAGGCACTTTGGGGCTTTTGTGGCGTTGTGAGCGATGCGCTCACTCAAAGGAGTTCTCGTCTGGCCCGCGGAAGGTGGCAGATGGGACGCAAAACAAGCCAGGGCCCAGACCCCCGGAGCTAATGGACAAAGTAGTAGCGGCTTTGTGCTTGCAAAGGCGGGGTTCCAGCAAATGTGGGAGGTTTGTCGAAATCTTGGGTTGCCAAATTCAGGGAGGGGAACATTCTACAGACGACTGAATGGTGACAAGGGATTATGAAGTAGCATAATCTCGGAGGCGGATACGTGCATGGAAGCAGCTAGCAAAGCATGAGAGCTTGCCCAGTTCTGGGAGAGTTCGTATGCGATGATGGGCGATGGTCACAAGCGCGGGAAGGAGAGTGGTGCACCGTCTCGTTTATCGACCACGAAACCCGCAAAATAATTTATTACACGCTGACACAGAGAGGTGTGGATGACCCTTCATCAGTAAAGCTGGAGGGTATCGGGTTCGATAGAGGGCTGGATGAGCTAGCGCAATTGAACTGTATAACAGAGGGTATTATTTCAGACGAAGGCATCTCATTCAAGACCTTGGCTAGCAAGCGTGGGCTCAACCACCAGCATGTTTGGTGGCACAAGTGGCGTACTTGTGTCAGGTGTTTCACTGTGGATGTTCAGAATTTGTTGCGAAAGCCCGTGGCGATCGATGACGCCAGTGAGGTGGAGGACCTATGGTTGAAGAGCGTTCCACAATTGCGAGCGTGGATGAAGGGCAATGAAGAAAAGACGAGCGGGGATAAGGAAACCTTGGTTCATGAGGTGTGCAGGGTGCTGAACTTGGAGTATCAATTCGTTCCACAGTCTCTTGCAAAATACAAATTTCCAGAGTTGCACCAAGTCAGCAAGGTGCGGGGGGGTCTAGATGAGGCAATCAAGAAAGGGAGGGAGGGCCCCACCAACGCTGCTGGGGAGGCGGGTGCTGTGGATGTTGTCGGAACTAGCATGCCCCAGCAACGGGGAGTAATTACGGAGAGGGAGCTGCCGATTGCGGAAGCAGGGGCCGTGCGGGTCTAATGGGCAGATGCAGAACGGCTGTGGGGCTATGAGCCCGACAACGCTGATGGCTTTCATCCCGAGTCTGCAGTGTCAATGCACATCGTGCAGACACAGGTTCTGGCCGGCGAGGACCATGATTTTGTGGAGGCGGGGTTCAACACATCAGCGGACAGCAGAACGGGTGAGAATATACGCCCTACCATTATGTGATTGTTGTTGTATATGCTGCAATAAGCAACATTTGGTGTACTTTGACACCCACCTATTTATTGCAGATGTGGTGGAAGGAGGAACAGGCTCAAATCAAGATGAACCGCTCGAAGGAGGTGACGTGGGTGCTGCACCAGCAAAGGGAGGGCGAAGGGCACCACGCAAGCGGCCGCTTGGCACTGATTTGCCGCGTGCAACAACTGGCAATGCAAGGGCTTGCCAGATGAAAGAAGTCACGGTTGCGCAGCGCCTCGGAATACACTTATGGCATGTCTTGTCACGGTCCGCTGTCCGGACTAAGGATGGCAAGCCAACATCTACTGCGTTGGTATCCGAAGAGTTATGTCTAGCTGCCGACCACTGGGCAAGAGACCATTCCCGGTGCAAGCGGGCCGGGGTAAATCCCCGTTGTGTTACTGAGAATTGGGGTACTGAGAGAGCCATTTACAAAAAGGTAGTGCGACTTACCAGGCGGTCACAGATTGGTTCAACAAGCATTTGAACCCTGAGATGGTGGCGTCATTTTACTTGGGTATGACCACATCCATGAATGAGTCATTTCATTCGTTGATTTGCAAGTACGCCCCGAGACGCATTCGCTTTCAGGGCAGCATGAGAGCTCGTATGTCACTCGCAGTTCTCCATTGGAACAATTCCATGGACAGGATGGTGAGAGCATACTGCACCCGAATGAGAAAGGCTACGCGTGTGCAGAGGGGCAAGGGGGATCGGATCCTGGGGCCGATGGATTGGGGATGGGTTGACACCATCGTCGACCATTGGCTCCACGGCTCGGAAGAGGACGGAGTTACGCACGCTGCTGATTCGCCAGAGCCCGTATCAGTCAATGCCGAAGCACAGCCACGCCAGACCCCTTCCACCCCTGTGGGTGTCGCTCCTGTACAGCGCCCACGTTTGTTCTCCCCAGTCAGTGACGGGGAGATGGAGACGCACGAAAGTGGCCGCGATCACGCCACTCTGGACTCCGGCCTGTCCCATTCACATCGTAACATTAGGTGCAAATTAGTGGGTGGGTCTGCAACACTCAAGCTGTTTCGCGGGTGCTGTTGGTTTAATATGGTGGGCTTTCCCACTTCTGGCCATTGATGTGTTCCCCCAACTCTCTACCCAATGTCCCTTACACCGTCCACTTATAGGTGGCTGGAAAGACTACCAGCAGTGACGGGGTCAGGTGGATGCAAATGGTGTCCACTGCCGGGGATCCATTTCTGCCTCACCACTCCATGTGAGGTTCTGTTTATATGTACTTATGACCCACCTTTTGCCGGACACGCTTTCATGCATTCACCGTACTATACACTGCACTCTCTCATTTATAGCAAGGTTCCAGCATGGTCAAGTTACACTGCCTTGCTCATCTTACTGTTTCAACACATCCGCCCTGTACCCAAGATCACTGCTGTCCAACCCCACGCGATCGCGGCAGGAATGCTGGCCCCATTGACGCGACACTGCACGAAATCGCTGCACCACTCCGAGTGGTCCGACGACTCATGCGTTCCGGATCAAGGCATCCCTATAGCGTGGCACCCATGTATGTTTGCACTAAAGACGGTCTGGCCACTCTAGCATTGTGTGACATGCGTGGTTCTCAGTCCTGTGCCAACAACTCCCTTCCCCACACTGTCCCTTGGCCCACACACTTCGTGCCCCGCCTTTGCTCCAGCATGCATACTGCACGTGGCTCTTGCCGTGTCTCTCTTTTGGCCACTGGGTGCTGGTCCCCGCTAAACTCTAGCTCTATTTGTGGGGTATTGTGTTTCAGCTCGTGGCCCCTTTCCTTTTTAATACTCTGACGGCAAAGGGAAGGTCTCCCCACAGCTTGGGGTACAGTTTGCACACCTATGCATGCAGGCTCTCATGGTCAGGGTTCTGCCACTCAAGACTTATGCAATTGTGGACGTGCACTCAAATGCCTGCCGGATAACAATCCTCCAGTAGCTTGATGACTGTTTGCACTGCCCTACTGTTTGTGAACCATTGGTCGGCATCCGCTTCACAATGCTCCTATATGCCACCCTCCTCCTCCGGTTAGAGTGACACTACGGCTATGTAAACTACCCATGGCACCCAGACGTTGTCAAACATGTGCTTCGGCTGAATGAGCGTGGGGACACCATAGAGCTGGGAGGGGGAAACCATAGGGCTGGGAGGGGGACACCATAGAGCTGGGAGGGGGAAACCATAGGGCTTGGAGGGGGACACCATAGAGCTGGGAGGGGGAAACCATAGGGCTGGGAGGGGGACACCATAGAGCTGGGAGGGGGAAACCATAGGGCTTGGAGGGGGACACCATAGAGCTGGGAGGGGGAAACCATAGGGCTGGGAGGGGGACACCATAGAGCTGGGAGGGGGAAACCTTAGGGCTTGGAGGGGGACACCATAGAGCTGGGAGGGGGAAACCATAGGGCTGGGAGGGGGATACCATAGGCTGGCCGGAGTGTGGGAGTCGCCAGGTTAGAGAGGCTGGGATGCGCAGCCCAGTGAGGCATGAAAAGCTCCTGAGAGTGCGGTACTCTGGGGAGTGGGAGAAACGTACTGCAGGGAGTGGGAGAAACGTACTGCTGTCAGTGGTGGACACCTAGGGCAGGGAGTGGGGGATACTCAGGGCAGAGTACTAACGGCTGTGAGTGGGGAATAACCAGGGGTGTGTGGGGGGGCTACTTAGGGCGGGGAATACTGGCTTGGGCTGTGAGTGGGGAATACCTACTGCATGGAGAGGGGGTCACGTAGGGCAGTGTGTTCCCTAAACTTGGGGCAGTGGGGGGGGGGGGGGGCAGCCGAAGGGCAGAGAGGAGGGACACAATCCAGGGTGTGCCTCGCTCAGTGTGGGGGATGTCGTGGTCAGCGGGAGGGGGAAGCTTAGGGCAGGGAGGGGGGAAGCATCGTTGGAGGAGTGGTGGCACTCCCAGCTCGGTGAGGTGGGGGGAAACCTCCCCCAGAGAGCCGGGGAGGCGAAGTGTTATTGGTGGGGGCGCGTGGTCCGGAGAGGGGGGACACAGCCCGCCTGTGAGGCTGGCGTCCTAGTATCGTCTCTGGACCCGTAGCCCAGAGTGGGTAAAAACCGGGTCCCATAAAGGGAGGGGAGACACGCTGCACCGAGGGGGGAAACGCAGAGCTGCGTGGGGATATGGGTGGGGCGTGAGTGGTGGCGACATGCTCCATCCAGAGATCAGGGGGACCGCCCGTCTGGCGAGTGTCAGTGGGTTTGGTGGTATAGCGATGCCGCGTGCTCACGGACGCGCCCCGTCGCCGGAGTGGGGCTGGGCATGCTCCGTCGTTGCGAGCTAACCGTGAGCCGCGGAGCGCACGGGGGTGGCTTCGTGGAACCGCGAAAAGTCTGGTTCATCATCGTCGTGTTCGCATGCCGCGTTCTGCCCGCTTTAGATCTGCCTTCCGCCGTAGTCGGTGTCGTTTCCCAGGTGGCCGCCGCTCCTATAAACCAAGATGCTGCTCATTGTTCGCACCCTCTCCGTGCGCTAGCTTCGGCCGTTGCCGTGATCTTCGTGCCTTCCGCGACGTAGTTTCCTGTTGTCTAGGGTGTCTCGCCAAAATTTCCCGTTTCTCGCGGCCCTCTGCTTTCCCTCTGGGCAGGTTTCCGGTTGTTGCTTGCTTGCCCGGTGGTTGTGCTTGGCGTGTGTGGATGCTGTGTGTGGTGTGTTAGTTGTGTACAGTATTCTGCAGATGGGAGTTGTGAGCTGTCCCAAGATGCAACGCCAGCTTCAAGTGATGTGTTTCTCAGCTGTGGCTTTTTTTGTGCCCCTGGGTTTGCCGAATTTTCTCATGACATCTAGCCCAATCAGGTACGCCTGATTTTCGCCACCGCGCACTGCTGAATCGGGAAACCACATTCCTGCTTTTCAAACGCAGTGCGTTTGAAGCCCAATCCCTACCTGTCGACTCTCATCCCCGCTTCCTCACGTTTTCCGCCACGTTTTCGATCGCCCCTTCCCCCAACAATCTCGATTCCCCCTGGCCCCCGAATTTCGAAACTCCCCCCTGCCCCCTTAAATTCGATTCCCCCTGGCCCCCCGGTCTCGAAACTCCCCCCTGCCCCCTCAAATTCGATTCCCCCTGGCCCCCCAATTTCGAAACACCCCCCTGCCCCCACCCCCCCCCCCACCCCCCCCCCAAATTTGATTCCCCCTGCCACCCCTTGCTCGTCCAACCACCCCCCCCCCCCCCCCCCCCTCCCCGTCAATTTCGTTTCCCCCTTCCCTTCGCTAGTCCAAATCCCCCCCAATCAAGTTCAGTTCCCCCCGTCCCTCGCAAATCCAAACCTCCCCCTCAAGTTCGATTCCCCCCACCCTGCGAAATCCAAAGCCCCAACACAAATCTGTTTCCCCCAGTATCGCAAGTCATTTTTCCCCTCTACGAAACTCAGCCCAATTCGCGTCAGTAGTTTTACTTCGCCTCTCGCCCTCCAATCAATTCCGCCCCCTTTTCGTGACCTCCACATTTCCATCCCGAGCCGCGTTGAATGTGTACCGCGGCTTTAAGAAGGTTGATGCATGGTACTTTGCGCATTCATAGCGTTTTTGTTTGCACTGTTTGCATTGCATTTTGCCATCCCTTATACGTTATCGGAGCGCCTCTTGAAGCAAATACTACGTCGAAAGGGATACTTTTCAGCTTGCACGGGGATGCTTTGGGTTATGAGACATTTTGTGGCCGTTCGATGTACAGATGGAACAATTTCAACCAGACACGACTGTGTGGTAGGAAAGTTGGGGCAGGTTTGCGTTGTCAGGAGACCCCGAAAATAATGTCAGAAGCTGGTAACCTCGACGGAGCTCACGGACTGAGGGGACACTGGCGAAGGAATATCCTAGCGAAATCAGCGAGGCAGCATCCGCTTCACGCCTCGCTTCAACCGTTCAGGCACTCCTCAGAAAGCTTGCAACCATCCCATGCATCCTAAGCCTGTACACCTAGCTCGTGGTATTCACACCCAGTATTTTCACAGGGGGTGCCGCGGAGAGGGTATTCACCCCCCGAAAGCAGCTCCTGAATACCTGTACTCCTGAAAAACAATTTGAACTTGGGTTTCTCTACGAAAAGTTTACTGCTCGATTTAGTGTTTCTCGAATCAGGAAACCCGACGTCAGCTTAGGCAGTGCTCAATTTTTTTGCCCGCGCAGAGCCTGTCAAGCTTAGACTGTATGAACAAGGGGGTACTGTCTACACATTCAGAAATGGTCTGAGTGGAAACAAAACCTCTCCTGCCGCCCAGTTTCAGGGTTTGATATTACCGCGGGCTAAGTGTACCGCCACCCAGCCAGCTGTGATTTGCGGTTGGTGAGCTGGTTCGGCAAGGCCAAGAGAAGCAGTTGGTCAGCCCCGGGAAAATGCTGGTAACGCAGTTTCTCTGGCTGATTCGTTTTCGCACAAAGAGCAGCTCTCGTCTGCACGTAGCATTCAGGTTCGGAAGGCCAAACCTCCTGCTGGTTAGGGTGACCAATGTTCTCACCTAACCCAAGGGCTGGCTATTTTTCCAAGGCGTGTCCCTTCTGCTCACCCTAGTCTGGTTCCGTTAGGTATTGTACGTTTCTGAGAAATTTGATTAGTGGCTAGAACTGTTCGGATGGGTTTCGAGGGAAACGAACTCTTGTGATACGCGATTTCTGTAACCCCCCAAACCAACTGCCCGAAAGGCGAACCTAGCGTCATCGGCAGCCCCGAGGATTCACGGTTTCACCAACTTGCATCAGAATCAGGCGGGGCCTGAGTTGACATCGCAGGCCAGTGAAGGGGCTGATTAGGGACGCGAGGTAAGACGTGTGAGCCCGAATAACTCACAGGTGCAGAGGAGACATAGGAGGAGCATAGGAGGAGCATAGGAGGAGCATAGGAGGAGCACAGGATCGACAGAAGCACTAGGAGCGCCTGCTAGAGGCTAGCGTCTTACAGGTTTAGCTGTCTGTTTCCTTCAACACTTGCCGTGACCTGAGGCACCTACAAGTCAGATGTGCGGCTCGAAGGCTCATCGTGCGAGGAGCGGCAGAGGCAGGGTCGAATGCGGTTCGGTGCGGTAACCATGCTCGCAGCTCTTTTCTGCGTGTGAAGGAGGAGGTTGCGTTGCGTAACGTCACAGCACTGATCATCTCCCCGTGTCACTCCGTACCACTCTGTACCTGCCCGTACCTGTCCATACCTCTCCCCGTATCCCCGTGGTGGAGCCGATGCTTCTCTTTCTCGTCCTTAAGTCCTCAAGCATCGTCTCTGGACTTAACCATTTCGTACAAGGAAGTTACGCAATAGTCCGCGACGCATTGGCCCACAGGGCTTTCACCAAGTCCGTTCCCGGAATTCAGTCATGTCTCTAGCGCTCACACGGTGCTAAGTGGCGATTAAGGACGAACTTGGAGGCGCGAATGGTTCGGCGCACTCGCTTACAGGACATCCCGTCTCAGGGGATTTCGCGGCGTCGCTGATCCGGTTACAGCGTCGCTAGAGCGACAAGCTGTTACGCTGTGAACTAGCAGTAGCAGCAGCAGCAGAAGAAACTGCTGATAGCAGCGATATTGCAACCGGACCAGCAGGGTCAGCACAAGGCACCTACCTACCGCCGATTGCGGCGGTGGCGGCGGTAGCCGCGTCGCTAGGCGCCATGGACGGCGGTGTAGCTACCACCACCGGCAGTGGCGGCGGCGGCGGCGGCGGCGGGGGTGGTGGCGGGGAGTTGAGGAAAGGGCCGTGGACAGCGGAAGAGGACGAGCTTCTGGTGAAGTGCATTCGCGAGCACGGCGAGGGCAACTGGAGCTCCGTGCCCAAGAAAGCAGGTGAGGGGCGAGGGGCGAGGGGCGAGGGGCGAGGGGCGAGGGACGAGGGACGAGGGACGGGCGGAGGGAAAGTGTGTGACATTAAACCGGGGAACTTTTGAGTCGACTCAAAAGTGCATTCGCGAGCACGGCGAGGGCAACTGGAGCTCCGTACCCAAGAAAACAGGTGAGCAGCGAGGGAAGGGCTGCCGCCTGCCGGCTGCCTGCGGTGTGCCAACTACCTGCGGTGAACCTCCCTCCCTCTGCATCCCCCTTCCCCTCTCCCCCCTCTCCCTTCCCCCACCTCAACCCCCCTCCGCCCCCCGCCTCCTCTTTCAGGGCTGCAGCGGTGCGGCAAGAGCTGCCGGCTGCGGTGGGCGAACTACCTGCGGCCGGACCTGAAGCGAGGCACGTTCACGAACGAGGAAGAGGACCTCATCGTCGCGCTGCACAAGAGCATGGGCAACAGGTGAGAGGGGGGGCGGGGAAAGGGGAGGGGAGGGGGAGGGGAGAAGGATTGGAGGGGAGGGGAGAAGGAGGGGAGGGGAGGGGGGTGTGCATGAGGAATGGGGGGTAGGGGTAGGGGGAACTGGAGAATAGATGAAGGCATGTGGGACAGATAGAGGCACGCGGATTGTAGCCAGCTATACCACACGTGTGCTTGCCTTCCCCAACCGTCTAGTCCTTTCACTCCCTGTCTTTCCAGACTTCTAAACCTAACCCTAAGAACCCCCTCTCCTGCCCCGCCCATTTCCCCCCTCCCCCCCAAACTTCCCGCTTGTCCCGTGTCCCGTTTCCCGTGTCCCGTTTCCCGTTTCCCGTTTCCCGTCCTCCTCTCGCCTTCTCCCTTCCTCCCGTCGCCCTTTGTCCGTTCTGGTCCCTCAGGTGGGCGAAGTTAGCGATGGAGCTGCAGGGGCGTACGGACAACAACATTAAGAACCAATGGAATGGAACACGCGCATCGAGAAGAAGAAGAAGAAGACGCTCGACTCCCTGTCTCCCCTCCTCCCTTCACCCCTTGTCCCCTCAGGTGGGCGAAGATAGCGATGGAGCTGCCGGGGCGCACGGACAATGACATCAAGAACCACTGGAACACGCGCATCAAGAAGAAGCTTCGGGAGGAAGGCATTGACCCCGACACGCACCTCCCGCTCTCCTCCCTGCCGCCAGGTCTCTCCCCTCCCCCTCGCGCTCCCCTGCCTCCTCTCCCTCCGACTCCCTTGTCTCTTCCGTCCCCTCACTTCTCATGCCCGCTCCTCCTCTAGTCCCGCTCCCAGAAACTTCTCTTTTGACCATCTCCCGTCTGTGCCTCTATCCCCGGGTCCTCTCTCTTGCCCCCCCCGCTTTCTTCGTACCATTTGTCTGTGTGTGTGGTGTGTGTGTGTGTGTGTGTGTGTGTGAGTGTGTGTGTGTGTGTGTGTGTGTGTGTGTGTGTGTGTGTTGTGGTGTGCTGTGCTGTGTGTGGGCGTACGTTCATATGCATGTGCATGCGTGCGCGCACAAGCATGTGTTAAGTCTAAGCGTGTGCCCATGTGTTGTGGGGTGGGGAGAGTGGAGCATAGTTGTAGAGTAGAGCCCCTGCATGCCGCTTCTTCTCGCTGCTCCCTTTCCCCACCATCGCTTCTTCTCATTCTGTCAGTTACTTTCAACGATCACTTCTTTCTCCTGTAAACCGCCCCCCTTTCCCCACTCTTCCCCACTCTTCCTCCTCCCCTCCCAACCCCTCCCCCCCCCCTCTCCTTCTCCCACTGCTGCGTCCGCTACTCTACCCTCACCTCACTCCGCCCGCCCCCCCCCTCCCTCCCCTTTTCTCCTCGCCCCACACACAGATCACGTGCCCAGCAAGCCGCACAAGAGGGGACCTCCCCCAGGTAGCGCCTCCACCCGGCCCCTCAAGGGCGTCAAAAAGGCCTCTCCCCTCGCTGCTGCTGGTGCTGCTGGTGCTGCCGGTGCTGCTGGTGCTGCCACTGCACCCACTGTTCATGCCCCTCGTGCTGCCAGTGCCCCTCATAGTACTGCTGGTACTGCCGCTGCCCTTCCAGACCATAGTGCTGCTGTTGCGGCAGCAACAGCTGCTGCTGCTGCTGCTACCTCATCTGCTGTCGCTCCCGCCACTGCTCCCATTCCTGCTGGCTACACATCAGCCGCAGGAGCATCAACCTCCTCTGCTGCCTCCGCCTCCGCCTCTGTGTCAACCACTTCCGCCTCCTCTACCCCCACCGTCCCCTCCTCTCTCCCCATCACTCTCCCCACACACACCCCCAACCACCCTCCCGACCTCCCGCCTCCCTCCTTCCAAACCTCCTCGGGAAATGGAGGTGGGGGTATGCCAGGAGGCCGGTTGGCGCAGGGACTTGAGGGGAGGGGTGTGGGGGAAGGGAGGGGAGGACAGTACTATTCCCAAGGACAGATGATTGGGTGCGAGGGGTTGGGAGGGGAGGGAGAGGGTTTGGAGGAAGGGGGAGGCATGGGCGGAGTGGGTGGAGAGGAAGAGAGTGAGGAGGCTGAAATGGGGGAGGGGAGTGTGGGTGGGTGGAAAGAGGGAGAGGAGGAGCGAGGAGGAAGAGGAGGGGAAGAGGGCCAAGGGGGAGGAGGAGGAGGCGGAGGAGGAGGGGGAGGAGGGAAGAGAGGGAGAGACCGGGGGAAGGGATCGAGTTTGGATAGCTTGGACTTAGCAGCGAAGGGGCTTGAGAGTCTTCTGAGTGGGAAGACGGAGGGGGATTTGCAGGAGCTCCTGCAACAGCTGCAGCAGCTGCAGCAGCAGCAGGAGGAGGAGCAGAAGCAGAAGGGGTGGCAACTGCGGCAGCAGCAGCAGCAGCAGCAGCAGCAGCATCCACATGTTAGATCCCCTCCCACCTATTCTGCTCGAAGAAAACCTCCTGGAAGTGACCTGGCTGGTAGCTCACTGGAAGGAGGGGAAATGAGGGAAGAGAGTGAGGGGCGGGTTGGTATTGAGGATAAGTTAAGGGTAAGGGGCGACTTTAGAAGCAGCAGGGAGGGGGCGGTTGCGGGGCAGGGGAATGTGGCGAATGCGGCGCTGGCCCTGCTAGGTGGCAATGGAGGATGGCGAAGGGAGAGAAGGGGACAGTTAGGCAATGCAGCAGAGGGGGAGCAAGGTCCTGGGGGTCTGGTGGGGGGATTAGGGGTGAGGGAGGGAGGTGTGAGGGGGAGTGGAGGGGGGCAGCGAGTGGCATTGGAAGGAGGGGCCGAGAGGGGCGTGGGAGAGATTGAGGGGAAAGGAGGATATGGTGGAGGGAGGGGAGATGGTGCGGCTGGTGGTGCTGCTGCCCCTGCCATTGCCGCTGCTGCCACTGGTGGTGGTGGTGGTGGTGGTGGTGGTGGTGGTAGTGGTGGTGGTGCTAGTGGGAGTAACGCCAGAGGTGCGGAGTCAGCAGGAGCAGGAGGGGCGACGGCAGAAGGTGGGGAGCCAGAAGTGTCTCCTACCAGCGTCATCAGGCAACTCCTGCGGGCTGCTAGACAGTCCGGCTGCGCCGCTGCTGCCCCCACCGCCCCTCCCCTCGACCCCTCTGCTGCCCTACCCGCCTCCCTTTCCAACCACCACCAGGCCACGGCACTCCCAATAGCCCACCACCGTCACCAACCCTCCCATCACCATCACCAGCATCAACCCTACGCCCCGCCACCTTCCTCGCAGGCAGCGACAGCCGCGGCTGCAGCAGCAGCTGCAGCGGCTATGGCGGCTGCAGCGGCCTCTGGGCGGTCCCCGTTGCCTGGGCTGGGCGGGTCAGGGTTGTCTCTGGAGCATCTGCAGCGCGTGGCTGCACTGCTATCCGCCTCCAATCACCTCCCCCGCGCCCCTCACGCCCCTCAGTCTGCGGCTGCAGCAGCATCGGCAGCAGCAGCGCTTAATTCCTCACTGATTTCCTCCCCGCAGCTCCTCACGGGTTCAGGGGCTAGTGCTGCGGCTGTGGCAGTGGCAGCAACAGGGGCTGCTGCCGCTGCTGCTGCAACATCATCAGTGCCTCTTGGAGGTTCGGCTTACCTCCATCCGTTCACGCACACTCTCGCACAACCCCACTCACACTCACACTCACAGGCTCCCTCACTCCCTCGTCCGTATACACACTCCCTCACACACTCATCTATACCGTCCCATCCTAGACCACCCTCAGTGATCCATCCCCGAACCAGTCACCCCTCTGTGCACGCCCAAGGGTACAGGCGGGGTAGGGAAGGGGAGGAGAGTGGAGAGGAGGAGGGGCAAGAGGAGGAGAGAGATCCAGCGCCGAAAGAGCAGCAGAGAAGCGAGGGGATGGGAAAGAGAGTCAGGGACGGAGAGCAAGGTGGTGATGGGGATGCTGGTGGTGAGGAGGAGGAGACGAGGCACGTGGCGGGGAGAAGAGGCGTAGAGTCTGGGGAACAAGGGCCCAATCTGGTTGCAGGCAAAGCAGTAGTAGCAGCAGCAGTAACAGAGCAGGGTCAGTTGGGAGTGGCAGGGACAGGGACAGGGACAGGGACAGGGACAGGGACAGGGACAGGAGGGGGCAGGGGAGGAGGAACGGTGGGTGAGTTAGGAGGAGGTCAGGAGAGAACAGCCCCGCTATCCATATCCACTTCCTCTGCCTCTGCCTCTGCCTTCTCCCCTGCACCTAGCATCTTACCACGGCCACCACTGCCTAAATCCATGCACCCACCCTCCTCAACCCCAGCAGCAGCAGCAGCTGCTGCAGCTGCAGCAGCAGCAGGCCTGCCACCAGCCCCCACAGGAGCATCGATAGCCGCGGCCGCTGCAGCAGCAGCAGCAGCTTCGCAGGCGGCGATGGCCGTGGCAAGGAAACGCCCGTCTGCGTTCCGAGTGCTGTCCGTGGTCATTCCCTCGGATAACGGCCGTGCAGACCACGCTCCCCTTGCTGCTGCGCCGTCACCAGGAGCAGCAGCACCAGCAATGACCGCTGCTGCTGCTGCTGCTGCTGCTTTCTCGTCGGCTGCTGCTGCTGCCGCTGCCGGTGTTGCTGGTGTTGCTGGCCACGGGGGATTGCCAGGAGGGCATACCTACATGAGCCCCTTCCCTCCCAGAAGGTGCGGTGCATCGGAGCTTTCGTTAAAGCCCACTGTCTTGTTGTGCGCTTGGGGTTGGCTTGGAATAAGACATGAGCAATTCGCATCGCATCGCATTTATCGCATTTTTGGGAGTGCGATATTTACTTCCTGGAAAAAAATATCATGCGATGCGATATGCGCAATATTTTTTTATCACATTTTTATCGTGCCCGGTTTATGCGATAAAATGCGATTAAACAATATCGCATGCGATATTTTCTTTATCGCAGTTCAAGAATTCGCCAGCAAGGGGATGGGGGGGAGCACAAGTCCCAAAAAACTCGCCAATTTCATTCCGGTTTGCAGAATCAGAATGGCATTTCGTTTTTTGGTCAAACTCACATTTGTTTCTTTCATTCTCAAAAATCCGATGCGATATTATATTGCGTTGCTCGATGTAATATGCGATATTTAAATATATCGCGTCCATTATGCGATATGCGATAACCAGAGTTAAAAAAAAAAAAAAATCGCGCGATGCAATTTTTTATCGCATCGCATTTCGGGTGATATAATAAAATGCGATGCGATATAATATCGCATCGCATCTTGCTCATGTCTTGCACGGTGCACCACAGTCTACACTGTCATATGTGGGTCTGGAGAAGAACGCCCTTTTAGTGCTCTGTCGTATGTGGGTTTTCCAACAAGTGCTCTTTTCTCATCTTGCCCTCCATGTCAACCTCACCCTTCACCCCATCTGCTTACTCCTTCCCTCATTTCACTCTCCCCGCCATCCATCCCACATTCCTTCCCCACTCACCTCCTGTTCTCTCCACACTCCTCCCCTTCCTCCCGTACCCACCTCTCCCCTCCCCCTCTCCCTCCTTCTTCCCCCCCCAGTCCCTGGGGCAGCGACGGCCAGTTCTGGGACTTGGCGTCAGAAACGACGGACATGGAGGGGGTGGTCCTCCCCAGCCCGCACATCATCCCGCCCACGCCCTTCAGCGCCGCCTTCCCCAAGCCGCACAGCGCCGGCGCAGCTGTGCGGGAGCTCACAGCGTTCGACAAGCCACTTGTGTCCCCCGCCGTGCCGTTCTTCCCGCGGACGCGCTCGTTCATTCGGATGGTGAGGAGCATTGCGGAGGAGGAGGGGCCGGAGGCGCTGGAGCGGCGAGAGGGGGTTGAGGGGGGTGAGAAGGGTGAGGGGGGTGAGGGGGGTGAGGGGCCGGAGGAGGAGGCGCAAGGGCGTGGCGGGACTAGTGGTGCTGGTGAGCAGGGTACGGGTGATGATGGTGGTGGTGGTGGTAGAATGCATGCGGATGGCACTGAGGAAAACGGTGGTTGTGGTGGTAGTGGTGGTGGTACTGTGGGGAGTGGCGATGATGATGGGGATGGTTCTGGTGGTGAGAGGGATGGGAGTGGCAGTGGCAGTGGTGGTGGTGCTGCGGATGGCACGGTGAATCAAGGAGAAGGAGGAGAGGAGGGGCGGGCAGTAGGAGATGAGGCAGCAACAGCAGCACACCGTGCGCCAGGCTCTTCAGCAGCAACTGCAGCTCTACCAGCAGAGGAATCCAATGCCTCTGCCTCTCCCACTCATGTGCCTCCTGCTGCTGCTGCTGCTCCTGCTGATGGTGATGGTGCTAGTGGAATTGGGTCAGGAAACGAGTGTGGCAGAGATACAACCACCACTGCCACCGGTATTGCAGCTCCAGATACTCCTGCCAACGCGCAAGCACCATCAGGAACAGCAACCGCAATCGCAACCACAGCCGCAACCACAACTGCAACAAAAACACCAGCAGCTGCAGAATCTGCTGGCAAGGCATTGCAGGAGCCACATGCATCAGGCACCAGGGCTGTCGGACGGCTGGGAGGCAGCTCCATGATGCGCCCTCCGCGCCTCTCGCCCGCCCCCCCCGGCCTTGCAGCAGTGGCGGCCGCAGCGGCAGCAGCAGCAGCTGCAGCAATGACAGGCCCGGTTGAGCTTCTGCCAGTGAGTGTTCCCTCACCCTCCCTTTCCCCACACCTCCCCTCCCCTTACCCAACCCCTTGCCCACCCCCGACCCCTCGACCCCCCCTTTCAACCCCCCCTCGATCCATGCTCTACGCTCATCTGGTTCTAGGAGGAGTTGTCAATTGGACCTGTGCCTGCTCTCTCCACTCGTGTCAACTCTGACTTGCGACAAAGCCTCGCCTGCTGCCCATTTCCCTCTCTCTGCTTCTCCCCCACTTCTCCCTGCCCGTCGCCCTTCTCCCCTCCTGTCCTTCAAACATGTCTCTCTCTGCCCCTCCACCCCTCTGCTCCTCTACCCCTTTACCGCTCTACCCCTCTACCCCTCCGCCCCT